ATATATTTTATGGGCTCAGCTTTTGGTTTCCTATGTGTAAGAAATCTTTGTCTCACCCAAGATCACCCAAGATTTCCTCCTACAAGTTAATAGTTTTACGTTTTGCATTTATATGCATGATCCATTTTGATTTAATTTTTGTATAATGTATGAATATGAATCTAAGTTCTTTTTTTTAGCATTTGGATATCCAGTTCCAGTACCATTTGTTGAAAAGGCTATCTTTTCTCCATTGCATTGCTTTTCAATCTTCATCAAAGATCAATTGAATGTGTATGTGTGGGTTTAATTTTGGTTTTTCTGTTCTGTTCCAGTGATCTCTTTGTCTTTACACCAGTACTGTACTGTCTTGATTACTGTGGCTTTATAATAACTTTTTTTTCTAATAACTATTGAGATAAGGTAGTGTTAGCCCTCCAACTCAGTTCTTTTTCATAGTTGTTTTGGCTATTCTAATTTCTTTGCATTTCCATATAAACTTTTTTTTTAAGATTTTAATTATTTATTTGGGAGAGAGAGAGAGACAGAGAGAGTGACAGAGAGCATGAGCGGGGAGGAGAGGGAGAAGCATGCTTCCCGCTGAGCAGGGAGCCCGACACGGGACTAGATCCCAGGACCCTGAGAACATGACCTGAGCCAAAGGTAGATGCTTAACCAACTGAGCCACTCAGGTACTCCCATATAAACTTTAGAAACAGCTGTTAATTTCTACAAAAAAGCCTGCTGGGATTTTGACTAGGGTTGTTTTAGAGGTATGGTTCAATATGAGGACCCTGACATCTGAACAATACTGAGCCTTCTAGCCCATGAGCAAGCTGTATTGCTCCATTTATTTTTGCCTTTAGTTTTTCTCAGCAATATTTGTGTGGTTTTCAGTGTACAGGTCTTTCCCATCTTTGTTAAGATTTATTCTATGGTGCTATTATAAATGGTATTTTCTTTTTCAGGTTTAATTAATTCGCTTTACTCTTCTTGTATAAAAACACTATGTGGTGGCCATAGCTGGAGCCTGGGTCCTCCACATGGAGACTCTGATGTGGGTCTTTACAAGATGGTCAGTGAATTCCTGACAGGGAGACTTGGTGAACACAGTCTCTTTCCAGAGTGTTGGGGTAAGGCAGCTGTAGGTCTTGTAGGTGGCATCGAAGGTTGCTTTGGCAAAGTTGCCCCAGGTGACACTGCAGCCCCTGGCTGAGGTGTGGCAGTCGTCAACATCTGCCATCGGCAGCTTCGTGGGCATGGGGCTAAGACCATAGCGTGGGTCTGGGTGTGAGAAGGAAGCAGACCAGTGCATAGTTGCAGCATCCTGTCATCCTGCAAGGAATCTGCGGGGTATGCCAATATTGCTCCCCCAGGGGTTTCGCTGCACAGGACAGTGGAGAGCTTGGCCAGGATGATGGCCCCATGGATGGCAGTGGTCGCCTCCTTGAACACTTAACACCCAGACCAACATGACTGTTATAGTCCTTGATGGCAACAAGTACCTTGAACCTGATCCACTGGCCAGCACTGGTTTGCTTTTATACAGGCATAAGGGATGTCTGTGTCTCCAGGAAAAAGTCCATGATCTCGGATGCCTTGATGGGCAGGAAGAAGAGTTAAATCTCTTCCAAGGACTTGATCTTCATGTCCTTGACCTGGGCAAAAACTCATAAATTGCTGGTTATAAGAGGGTAAGCAGGTTTTTGCAAGTTTGTGTTTTCTGGAGGGTTGGGTTTTTTGTTTTGTTTTGTTTTTAATTGTTAACTGCCAGTGTCTGCTCTCCTTCAGCATTCTTTTTCAACATTCTTTCTCAAGCTGTAGGTCATTTGGTATGGTTTTCAGTAAATTGTCCCCTTTGGTCTGACTCTGACAGGTATTGGAGGCACAGAGAAGGCATCAGAAGGAGAAATCTGGCATCATACCTACCTCGCCAACACCCTACACTTACAACAAGGTAGGGGAAGAGATACTTACCTGTACGCTTCAGGTATAGCCCCTCTTCTCCTGTGGGGTGTTTGTGGTTCTTTGGGAATGAATTCTTTGGAATTCTAAGGGAATTCTTATTCCTTAATATTCCTGTCCAAAAGGCTGGCAACAGCCACACATGCAGAAGATTCCTTGGAATTCAGGTTTTTTTGTCTGATGAAATATGAAATAAGTTTCTTAACAATTGAGGTTTTGCAGCAGTAACCAAGGGCAGTGGTCACCTGTAGGTTATTTATTTGGATAGTTGTAGTCCACTGACCACATTTAAAAGACGTGGTTGTCTTGCTTTTTTTGAGGTGGAGGCCGTTTCTGGGAACATTCCATGGCCATTTATGGTACTGTTCTTTCTTCCTGTAAAATACCCAACTTAGAAGTGTCTACAACACAACAGCAAGTGTTCCTGGTCTTACAGTTCTCAGTCTGTAGCCTGCATATCAAGCATCTCTGTTCTAAAACACAAGAGGATTAGGGCCTCTTAAAGCAGGTCCTGGAGTCGCTGAGTAGATCAGAAAAAAAAAATGATGCTTCCTGGGGACTCATGGCTGAATATAGATGACAGAGAGGGACCTGAGGGTGGTAAAAAGGCAGTAGGTTGGCTCTTCTTGGGTCCCACACTTTAGGGCCCCACGTGTTCCTATAGCACGTGCACACACGTACACACAGGCAAACATCAGAGAGAACACCCAGGCTCCTCTGCCACTCAGGACCCTGTGCTCTACCCTGTCACTGGCACAGTGTAACCAAGAACCCGAAACATCTACTTTCATGAGTAATACTGGTCAGTCCCCAAGAAATCACTGCTCCACACCTTCTTGCCCTACAAACTCAAAATCATAGTCAGCTCTACCCTTATGTAGTGAAGATTTGAGGGCTGTGCTGATTACAGCATCAGAGTCAGAAACTGCTTCCCGCTTCTTGATGCATGCAGGAAGTGAGTGGTAGAAGCATTTAGATGACGTTAATTTACTTGCGAAAATTTTCTCAGCATGAGTGCAATGGATTCTTGTATGATATTATTTTCCAGTAGTATTTTTGTCTTCTTTTCCTGTTCCATTTTGTGAACCCCTAGTGGTGCTCATGAATTAGCATGGCATTCATAAAAATTACACACTGCAGATGAGTAGCCTGTTGGAATAATAAACAGCTCATATTACTTTTGAATGTGTATATATGTTAGTCTAGAGATAATCCTCTTTATATTGGCAACTAAGTCAACACTGAATGCTACATTTGCAAATAATATTTTAACAAAAATCTGTAATAAGATGTAATTAAATTTTTAGAAGTTAAATAACTACATCAATCTTAAAAAATAGTATCAGTTTCCTCATGTGGAAAGTGAGGGATTTGAACTACTTTTTTTTAAAAGATTTTATTTATTTATTAGAGAGAGAGAGAGCGAGCACAAGTAGGCAGAGTGGCAGGCAGAGGGAGAGGGAGAAGCAGGCTCCCCATTGAGCAGGGAGCCTGATGTGGGGCTCGATTCCAGGACCCTGGATCATGACCTGAACCAAAGGCAGGCGCTTAACCGACTGAGCAACCCAGGTGCCCCAATTTGAACTATTTTTAAGATTCCTTTCACCTCTATAATTTTTTTTTTAAAGATTTCATTTATTTACTTGAGAGGGAGAGAGAGAGCATGAGCGGGATGAGGAGCAGAGACAGAAGCAGACTCCTTGCTGAGCAGGACCCCGGGATCATGACCTGAGCCAAAGGCAGATACTTAACTAACAGAGCCACCCAGGCACCTCACCTCTATAATTTTATTTATTTATTTATTTTAAAGATTTTATTTATTTGACAGAGAGAGA